AATTAGCGCTACAATTTTGTACACTTATTTATTTTATTTTGTTATTGTCTTTTCTTTCTTCTACAGCAACAACGCGCATAATCATGCAGTTAACTGTGTGTCAGCCTCGCACTGATAAGAGCCGACTTGTGCAACGGGCCCACTGCTATACTTCTATACACGCACTTACAGCACACACTCGGCGAGTGTTACACAATTAAATAAATTAAATAATAAATTTGTAATTAAAAACAACTAAAAAAGGGGAGCAACACAGATTAACGCACGAAGATGCTGACCGCTTTACACAACTTCCGATTTGATAAATGACTTTGACAGCAGCAAAAGCAGCTAAAGTCAACACAAATGCAACAACAACAGCAACAAAAGGCAGTAACGGTAAGCTGAAAAGCATGAAAAGCGTTTTTGGAAAAATGGAGCAACCGAAGAACAAGAGAAATATACAATAGTTGAGGCGGCGCTTGGAGCAGCGACAGCGCGAAGGCAAAATACCAATGTCAGCAGATTTTTGGTAAACCGAAAGCTTATTTTATTGATTTTTGACACTATTTACATTGTTGCAGCAACATTTAAAAATGTTAAAAAAAAGAAAGAAATTCAAAGAGCATTGAAACCCAACGGAAGGCAAAAATAACAAACCTTAAGGGAAAAATAGTTTACGAGCAAACTGAGTTTATGTGAAAGAAGTCTGTATACAAAAGTCTCTCCTTCCTCCCTTCCTTCTTCTTTTTTACCTTAATGTTTGTTAATTTTTTTTTGCGTTTACAAAGCGTTTCATTCTACTATGATTTTTTTCGTTTTCAAAAATTATCTACCCAAGTCTAATTTAGAAAGATTGGCTAGAGATTTCCAAACACTTCAAGTGTATTTCCTGCCCTGATGCCACATTTGCTGATAACCTCGAGCTAAGGCCTTTTGACAACAGCAAAATCTGTGCTAAATTTATTTAAAACTCTAGTTTTTGGCTCAAATGTATCAAAAGAAGACTTAAATATATAAATAAACATAGAGATATGTATGAATATGTAGAAACGCAGAAACGCTAATGACAGCGCGTTGCAGTTCAAAATCAGTTATTAACATAGTGGCGCTAGTTAAGCGTGATCAAAACGCTTAAATTGGCTGACAGATTTTTTAGGGAAGAGTGTGACTATTGTTTTCGTGGCATACGCCTAATGTCTTATATAATACTTGGCTGCAACAGCAGACTTTAGTTTTAATTTACAGTTAAATTGGTTCATCCTCATAAGTCGCGCTGATAACGCGCCAACACACGCACATGTATATACATATATGTATGTACAATATATTATCAGGCACGAAGAGCCACCGGCCGGACGCGATCGGCAGTCGACAGCTCGCGGTTGGCAGCTGGCAGCGCTGCGCCAACCAGTACGCCGCCTGCTGGCCGTGTTGTTGCCGTGTCGCCAGCACAATTTGCTATTTTTGGCTAACCTTTTGCAGCAGCGCTGGCGTATGTGTGCGTGTGAGTGCGCGCAGAATGTTTGAAATGTTTTGACATGATTTATGCGTTTGTTGTTGTCAATTGCTGTTGTCTTCGTTCGATAGGCGCTTCTGCCTTGGCTTCGGCGCCGCTGATAACCTGGCCTATTATTTATTTGCTTTTCGCGCCATCGTTCGTTCAGCTTGAACTTTATTATTGAACTCATTCGCTTTTATGATTTATTGTTGTTGCAATTGTTAAGAAAACAATGTTAAAATAGCAATTAATTTGAATTTTTTTCATTCAATTTAATTATTGCTGCATTATTTTTGTAAATGTGTAGCTGGTGAATGCGCGAGATTAGAAGATCCGGTGTTGGTGCCTTCAGAAAATGGAACAACATGTCCTTGAAAAAAAGTAATATACATATGTAAATGATTTTTATGGAAAACGGAAATTGTTTAACGGTGTAAACAATTGACTTAAGCCACTGGAAAGCATTTTTGAAAATATAATTTTTTATATACAAAGTTTTTGAAGTCTTTTCGTTTTGTGCATATTGATGAATGAAAATTACATATGAAACAAATGGCAACACCAACACATTGTTGGCGTAATCAAACACTATTTTCTAGTAGAAAAATCATTCAATATTGAAAAATGTATGTATGCAGCCCTCTGCATGTGTGTGTCTATCGCCAAACCCAGAATTTTTTGCTTTTCATTCGTTTTACTTTTCGCAATGTTTACCTTGCAGCGCGGGCCATAAAATAATATTTTTGACTAGACACGCTTGCTAATGATGAGTATTACATAGAGGTGTTAGCCGCTTGATTATCGCACAATAATGGGGATTAACACACGCATTCATATAAACATATATACATATACGCTTTGCCGCTGGCGTTATGTTTACTTTTGAGTTTGTTCTGTGAGATAATTTGAGTTGGCAACACATGTTTTATACAAGTTTTAGCGTAAATCATGAAATTTATGCACATCAAAGAATTGTTGCTGGTCATACGAGAATACTATTATTTTATTTTATTTTCGAAAACATAAAAGGAATTAAAAAATTTTGTAATAATTAATAAGTATTTTGTTTGAAATTTTCAGCGCACTTCCCTTACGTAGCCCCTTTCATGCGACCTTGATTTTGTTATATTTTTAAAAATATTTTAACACTTACACTTTCAAGTACTATGCGGACCAAAAAACCACTGTAGGTAAACATAAATATCAGAAGTATTAAGCTACAGTTAGTTACCGTCGCAAAACCGTAAAAAACGTATCAGCTGATACGACCTATCTTATGAAAGCGCAATGTAAATGAACACTCACCACCGCTACTACCGTCCGTAACGTGGGATATCAGCTGATTGATTTCTTACAACGCAGGGTTACCAGTCGCGATATTTTGTAGTAATTAATAAGTAGACTTGAATATATTTGAAATATTCTTAAACTAACTCAAAATCACAGACGAACACAATTAATATAAATAGTTAGACTACTTTTAATAGTTAAATTTTAGTGTTGATCTTTTACATTATGAAAAATGAGCTCAAAAGCTAGATGTGTGCAAAACTATACAAATTGAGCAATGGCAACAAAACAAAGGAGCACAACCGATTTTTACGTTGTCAGTACGGGCATAACTTTTGACAAATTTCGTGCGAATCATTCCATCTACCAAACTCAGCTCGCATCTTCCAAGCAGAAGTACTAGGCATAGTGAAGGCCTGTGGAGTTCTACTCAACAATGAGAGGATACATAAAGAGGCCATTTACACAGTTCAAAATTTGAGTTCCCGGTCACAGGAACATTTTCGGCAACGAAAAATCAGACAAGTTGGCTGAGTCAGTTTGGAAATATACAAGCAATTGCAGGATAGCAAAACAGATATGCCCTAATTATGGCAAGACAAGAACTATGGACTTATTACATAGGTCCAGGAAAAGTATATATAGACTTACAGCTACTATAACGGCGCATTGTATATTTGGAGAACATGTGTATGCCCTATAACAGCGCTGGCCGTAGTTACAAACTCGAGAAAACGATTCTACGCTTCCTCTGTGAGTGCGCAGCTCTATCACAAATCAGACATCAAACTTTTGAAATCCATCAGCTATCAAACCTTGAATGCCTAGCTACAAAAACTATTACGTAGATAAGTAGTATCATTGAGGGCACCAAATAATTGCGTCCAACTGAGGGGCAGCACTCTTACCTACCTACCTACCTACCTATAGGAAATCTATTCACTGAAACAAAAGTGCTCATATGCATCATTTTAGTACCACTTCTTGGAGTACCACTTGAGCATTATAAATTTCTTCACTTATGTTATAGACACATATAAGCTTAATCAATTATTTACCACAATTTTTTCGTTATTTACTGCACTACATAAGCATATGTAACCTTTTTCATTACTTCTATGTCACCATATTCTAAAATTAGCTCGCTTACTTCAGCTAGCGGCAAATACTTGTAGGTATGCTTATCTATCGGAGGAATGTCGTAAGCAAATCTGGGAGTTGTTGTTATTGGGCGATAGCAAAATATTGCAAAAGCTAATATTTTAAATAGCACTTCGCGCAAAATTCCGCTGCAAACTTTGCTGGCTGTGACTCACCGGTCGCGTTATTAGAAACGCTGTACTTGCATATGCAAATATCAGTTTTACAAACTAGAAGTTGCGATGGCTTAGTCTAGCATATTAGCGCTAAGTTCACATACGTTTGACAAGTTTGCGATCACTCGCGTTAACTCGGCGCATAATGCATTTAAATTTTTAAATATATTTTTAACTTTTTTAGCTGGGGTTTGCCGCTTTGAGGCGTCATAAATACGCAAAAACTAGATAATTTATAAATTTTCAAATATTTTTTTAATGCCCAGCCGTAGTTAAGTTTTCCAGCAAACAAACAATTATAGTTTTCAATTACAGCTTATTGCGCTTAATCGCGTGAGCGGCTTTATTTTAAGTAAAACTGCGTTTAGCGTGATTATAAATAAAAATAAAAAAATTACTAGTAAAAAGTTAGTTTTGCTTGTATATTCGTTTTAAACAATTAAGGGTTTGTGACTTGGCTAAAATTAAAAAACAAAATAACCGACTTTTTCTACAATAATATAACTAAAATCGTGAAAAAAGCGCCTACAGGCCTGTTGCAAGCAATATCTTTCACAAAAATCTAACAGTTGTGCGTAAATAATTTATAGTTTTGGAGTTTTAGCCTGCCTAGCATAACCAAGTCTCAAACCACAAACAGCAAGCAGCACATAGACTGCAAAAAACTGTATTTGTAGACCAAGATTTCGCTAAAATTTTGTGTTTACAACGCACAAAGTTGGGCTTAAAAATATTTCGCCACGCGCTTTTAAAAAAACTTAAATTCCAACAATTTTGCAGTCTCATACAGCAATTAAATACAATCGCCGATATCACACGCTTATAACACTTTGTTTCAAAACATCAGCACTGTATAAAAAATGTGGCAAAAATCACTAATTGCCATTGAACTGCCACACAACTTTAACACTCACCTTAGCCGTTGCCGTGTGGTAGGTGCCACATGTGGCATGCAATATCAGTAGCACTGCCACAAGCTTGAAGATCATCGAGGCACTCCACAGCGTTCGCCTCGCGGCGCTCGCACCGCTTTGGGGTACCTGCGACCCCATTTCGCTGTTCGCCGTCTGTCCGCGGTTGGTTCACTTGGAAAATCTAATGTCAACGCCAGGCGAAATTTGAAAAATTTTGAAAATAATGCAAGCTAAGTAGCGCAATATATCAAAAGTTGGCGCGACGTGCTAATAATTTTTACTAGTTTTCTTGCTTACTTATTGTTCTTGTTTATTGTGTTTGTATCTGCAAAAACTACAAATTCGAAAAGTAAAATATTTGTTTTTATGCTAAAAATGATTCAATTGGGGTTTCTGTATGGCACTTGTGTAGAACTGCGTAGCACAAAGTTTAAATTTTCGCGCTTGTTCTTGTTTGCGTTCGCGTTGCAATTATGCTGTTTTGTGTTTTGAAATATGATTTTTTCGACGCTTTGGCGCTTTTTAGCATTTATTTCGATACGCTTCGCGCGCAACGCGTGTGCAGCGGCATTTATTTATTTCATTTAAATTTATTTACAAGTTGAGCGATCGTGTTGGTGGCGCGGGTGGGCGGCGGATACGTTGTTTCGCTTGAGCTCAGCAGAAAGTATTGAAAATGTGCGGGATTTTTGCAGCGAAGACAAGGCGAAGCAATGCCAACGAATGAAGAGAAGAAATTGTAGAAATACATCACAAAAATAAAGGCAAAATGCAATGCCACGAATTGCACGGGGACACGTGATTGGCGTGGCGAATTGGCTGAAATCCGAGCAATTCGCATTGAAGGTACTCAGAATGCAACAAAAGGCAGAAAACGAAAAACGCGAAAGTCTGTTTATACGAAAAAGGGTGTGTGTGACTTTTCAGCGGAAAAAAGTTTAAGAAAACTGAATTTGAAAAATAACAAAATCCTTGTGGATGGCATAAACTGTTTGTATTTGGTTTTTGCGCAAAAGTTTGCTTGGATTTTGCTTTTTCACGCAAAATTATTATATTTTAAATATTTATTATCTATTATATATATAATATAATTAATATATATTAAAAAAAAATTTTAACAACAAGTACTAAAATTCACTTTCAAAGCATTTTAATAAAAAAAAATTTAATTAGGAAAAATTCAAATTAGAATTATTTTGCTTTTTTTGGAAATATGTACCGCAAATTTTTTATATATTTCACATTTTACTACTACAATTTTCAAATAAAACGCCTATATTTAAAAAGCATTTTTCAACAAATTTAAACATTTTAAAATTTAAAAAAATTAAATTCAGAAAATTTATTTAAAATTTTTTTTTTAATTTTAATAAGTTATTTATTTGAAGAAAAAAAAAATAAAGAAAAAAAATCATAAAAAAAAATTTTTAAATAGAAAAAACTAACATCAAAAATATATGTTTTGTTTTTAAAATTTATTTTCCAATTTCAAAAGTATAACTTTCACACAATTTTTAATTTTTATTTAACTAAGTGTCGTATTAAACGTTTCTGTGCTCGCTTTGTGTTCAAAATTTCGCAAATTTCAGCAAATATTTTTCGTTTCTATAGATTCCGCGGCAAATCCTTTCCTTCTGCATACATAAATGCCACACAATTTGTTTGTCCAATTTATTTTCAATAATTTGTGCACTAAAATGAGGCAAACATTAAACAATAACTTCAACGTATCACAACTCCTGCCGCCACTCCCACTCACACACACACACGCGCGCAAACGCTCGTCTCGCACATTTCGTACGCGTTTGGAATCAAAGTTAGCAAATCAAAATAGGCTGGCGCACGTATCCTGCCGCGTCGGCGTATCCTGTCTGTAATGCGCAACAAATCCACGCGGATTAACGCTACTAATGCCGGCGACGTGTACGGCAACTTTTCTAGGACACCACTTGACGTTGCGTTATGCGACACGGTTAATCAAATTTTTTTAATTCCAGAAAAAGTTAGCGCAAAAATATTTATTAAATAACCACACAATCCTCGCAAGCTAAGATTTGTGTGAGCGAAATGCCAACTAACCACCACTAGCAAACCGTAATCGACGTCCGTACCGCACGACGGCGCACAACCGAATGGAGCTGAAGACTTCCTTTTCGTCTTCGTCGGAGTCGTTGTCGTTGGGGCGCTGTCGACGCAGTCGCCGGCGCTGACGCTGGCGTTGCGTCTGTGTGTTGGTGGCGAGTGGCGTATGCGGCGCATACGTATGCATATGCCGGGGTCTTGCGGGCGCGTTGTGCAAATCACGAGAGATAATATTGCTAATGTACTGCTGCCGCCGTTACAGCTGCTTCTACTTATTCTACAAGTTCTTCTTCAGCTTGTTGTGCCTGCTCGCTTTCTTGTTATGCTTCGCATGCTTATTGCCGACACTTATGCATATACGCTAGAACTTAATGTAACCGCAGGAATACAACCCGCACACACACACACACACGGTATATGATACGCCGGCAGCTTGTTTCATATAACCTGCACACGAGCAGCCGCGAAGAGCGATTTTAGTGCGAGCATACGAAGACGCGCGTGTGTCCGTTGATTGGTATTTAGTATGTGGCCATGTATGTGTGTTGGCGCGCGTAACTGTGTTTGTGTGCGGCGTGGAGCTTTTGTAACAAACCCGAAAATTGTCAGACGACGATAACGACGTCCATGCACAGACTGATTGTAGTGAGGCAAGGCACTAGCATTCAATGGCAGGCAAAAGCGTTGACGGCCACAGCCACGGCGCTCTAAGCATACGACAACAATAACAACAAGCGGGTAGCACCGCAGAACCGCAGAATGACGCGAGTGGCTGCCAGGCGACGAAAACGAAACGAAAAGTCAACTCAAGTCAGCAGTTAACGCAATCACAACAGACTACTACGGCAACAACAACAACTGCGACAACCGTAGATAAGTTTAAAAATAGCGCAATAAAAAATCGTTACTTGCGTCGCCGTCGTCGCCGATAGTGATATCGACCGCAACAACAACGGCGTAGACAGTAGAAAACGACGACAACAACACGCAAATTTCTAAAAAAAAAAACAAAAAAATTGGCCATAAAATGGGAGAGCAACAGCTGATAGCAAGACTTAGTTTTGGTTATTTAAACTCTAGCCAAAGCTGTAGTTCAAGAGCCGGTTAGAGCAAACGAAAAAAATAAAATTATTTCAAATAATTTGCGATTCTTAATATTTTGGCTATACAGTGAAACATTTACGCGATGTGGCAACCTTAACGTAGTTTTACAAATAAAACAAACATTTTTCATTAAAATAACAAATGTGCAAGAGTCATCATACGACACGGTGCGCATCCCGAGCTGCTGCTGTGTAAACACAAACTTTTGTATTTTATTTAAATTGGCTTGGTGCGCTCGCGTGTTCGCTTTACTCGCTTTCCAAGGCGTGCGAAGTTGCTGGCACAAAAGCCGGTAAACCACGCGCCGCACTGGCACTGCTTTAAATGGCGTTGTTATTGTAAAGCAGCGCATTGTCGCTTTTGAACGATCTCAACAGTGGGAGAGTGAGCGAAAGTGTGCGCTCGCATACTGCTAGCAGCGCGCTCAATATTGAACGATCAATCGTTAGGGTGATTTTTTGCAGGTAACAGCAGTTTTTTTTTAATTAGACGATAAGGTGAGCTATAGGTCAGCTTACTCAGCGTAAGTTAGCGATGTGTTGTTACGCAGTAGTGCGTATATCCAGAATAACAAGTTAAGTAACTGGTAATGAGCTATAAGCGGTTATATACAGTTAGAAGGCCGAAAAAAGTAAATTTTGCAAAAGTTTTCTGAAAAAAACTTTTTAATTTATTGATTCAAAATTTTCACACACATTATGGTATATTTGAACTATATTTTAAGACTTAGTACTAGTAAAACTATTTATTTGCAAAATAGATACAGCTGATCTCCGAGAGCTCCTCTTAAAAAAGACCGTTTTGAAGGGAACATTTATATATATATCTTTGCACTGGATCATCCGAAGTTGGAAAACCAAACAGATTTCGTTAAAGTAATGCTAAATCTAGTAATTTATCGTAGAAAAAAGCAAAATAAAATTCAATATCAAAAATGGCGGTTTTTCAAAAACAAAATATAGATTTTCCAGCGAAATTTCTATATAAAAATATTTCTCATAAAACTATTTATCAGAGAGAAAAAATCTTCGACTAATTACTAAAAAATCTATTTAAGTAGCTCGTGTTAAAATTTCGGTTTCCGTTTTCGAGTAATTTTGGTCACCGACTTTGAAAACAGTATTCTGAGAAAAACCCGTTTAAAGTTTAGTCAGGTAGTTGCTGCCGCTCGGGCCTTGTACTTGCAAGCACTCTAAAACGCCTTTTCAAATTTGCCCGTAACTTCGAAAATATGCACCGCAATGATATGAAATTTTCTCTATGTATTCTTAAATATATGTATATTAAGAAAAAATATATATAAAAAAAATCGATTTTTTGAAAATTCTAACTGTATGTAACTCCATAAGACTTCCTGACAATAACAACTTACTAATTAAACAATCGAACTTTTTCTGCTGGGTTTCTTAGTTGGCGGCGGTTTTCCACCCACATGCTTTCCATATCGCTCTCTCTCTCTCTCTCGCTTTTATGTTCCCAATAATGTTGGGCAAAAGTAAATTGTAAAGCCGACAAAACCAATAAAAGCAGTAAAAAAACTGTCGTAGCAACAGCAGCGACAACTGAGGGCGCAGTCAGCGCTACACGACAATCGTGTTGGAATGCCGTTAGGCATATAGCAATGTGGTTACAATAGTAACAACAGCAATGGCAATGAAGAAAAGCGGGAATCCGTATTGCACACAAAGGTAATGCGGTGATTTTTAACTTTTTGTTTTGATTTTGGCTTTCTGTGCCACCACAAGTTCGCTACGGCTGCCCTGAAGTTGTGTTGAGTGTTGTCAAACCACTTAACTGGGCCCTAAAGAGCGAACGCGCAGCACAAGGTAAGCAGATGAGCGCTGGTGAATGATATGAGAGTAAACAAAAAGGCAAAAGCCAAACAAAAAGATAAAGACGTGAGCGCATTATCGAGCATACAAAACCGGTATGCCGAGTTGAACTCCAGCCGACTGCTGACTAGACAGGCAGGCAAGGGGCGGGCACACATAGAGGCAACTTTCATATAAAGTGTAGTGGCGGAAGAGTTCGCGACCACGCGACAGTCGACGCAACTCCAACGTTGGTAGCGTAGCGCTAGCAAATACTGAGGAATGAACTGGGGAGGGAGGCGTATTGGTTGTTTATTAACTAATACTTTTATGTACTAACTTGTTTGCTGTTGTAATGAGTGGCCATAATTGAGGTGTCAAAGCGTCAAAATCAAAGCAATGCGCCGTTGTCTATTTTTAGTGTAAACACAAAGTACGCTGAGTCGCTGTGCGAAAGCCGGGTGTGTGTGAACAAAAAATTTCATTCAGTAAAATGTGGGAATCGATGTCTGCGTGGTGTGCGCTGTGAACACATTGCTTTGTTTCTGCTTATTAGCTGGGGGCGTGGCAACGACACTTGCGCTGGTAGGGGGTGAAAACGACAAACAACAATAGTATGAAGAAAAAAGTCAGCTAGTTGAGTGAGAACATAAAACGCTAGAACGAAATGCTTGACAAAAAGTAAATAAATAGAAATATAGCATACAATGCAGACATGTGTTATTGAGAAAATTACTTAAAGTCACAAACGAGATTAGTTCGATAAATAAAATATAGGTATTTCGAGCAATATAAGTGCCCTAAAAAAAAGCTTATAAAATCTGCTAAGACTGCATGTCAAAAAGCGCTTGAGGCGGCTGAAATTGTTAGTAAAATCATATTAAGAACTTTCCTTCAAGAGCGTGAAAGTGTAAGCAACATTTACGCCAAAAAAAATTTAACTATGTGTGTTAAGCACAACTCATATGAAAAATCGAGTACTGCGTTCGGTTATTTCTTATATTTTATCACATAGGACGATTCAATAGACAACTCGTCAGTTTGTGCAAAACCGAGCATATTTAGCGCAAAATCTATAACAATTTCAATTTCAAAACACAGTTCACCTTTCCGCCAGGAAGTCGCACATACACATACACACTCTGACTCATTAAACCGCACGCGAACTTTTTCCACCAAGTGAGTGCGCGTGGCAGCGCTTTAGTCAAGTGACCAGTTGAAGCAGTGGCGCAAAGCTAAGCGGTCGCGGCGCTAGTTGAGGTAAAGCATCAGGTTGGCAAGGGCACCACACACGCTCTACGCGTACAAAGGGAAAGAGCATGGCAAAAACAGCACAAAAATGTATTTGTTTACTCCACTCATACGTAAACCGCGCGCAACAAAACGCTAAGCAGGCTGAAGTGGAGTGGCTGTCGCACAATAACAAAATGGAGCGTGCAAACAGCAGGAATTTGAGTATGTTAGCCAAATAATAAACAAATGATTTACGCGAGCGCATTGCCGACTTGTTGCAAGTGTTGTGCAGTGCAACAAGCTGAAAGCGCGCGGCAAAAGTGTGGTAAGTTGTGGGGCGGTGGCGTTTACCGTCTACCGGCTGAGTATTTTATTTTGCTGCTTGCTGCGTTTATAGTGCATTATACGCACAAGTGTTGACAGCTTACTTTTAAATACATGTCTTACCTGCTGCTTAACAAAAGAGAGAACAAAAAAGCCGCCGCAGCCCACACACCAACCATGGATATGTCTTATTTATGCTGGGTTCTAAATAAAAATGAAATGCAATAAATATGTATGACTGCAACACTGTGGACTAGCGGCAAAGTATATAACAACAGCTGGAGAAGAAAGAGCGGTGCTGAGAAGTAGGCTATGTAAATAGTATGAGCAGCTAAAATTCTGGTTACAGGAAAGTAAAGAACAGAAATTGGGCACAAACAGAAAATCGTAAAGCTAGACAAAAATATGTTCCATTTGTCTCATTAGCGGCAGAATGAGGATACGAGAAGAGCGTCAAGTAGTTTGAATAATGTCATCGGGCTGTATTTTGTTAAATGTATGCAGCTAAATAGAGTAGCGAGGTCAAGTCAATTGAATTTACTCCGAGTTTTGCAACCTAAAATTATTAGAAGGATATATTGAGGCATGATAAAGCATTTTTATACCCTCAACAAGTTGCCACGGAGTTTGTAATACATAGAGGGAAACGGCGTAGATCCTAAAAGCCTTTATATAAAGGATGAGGGCGACAAGGTGTGTCATTAACCCTAAAAAATGTAAACAAAGGTTGTTGACTTGGCTATATTTAAACAAAGGTGATGGAGCTGGCTAAATGTAAAAAAATTGTCATTAACCTCGACAGGATGTAGAGCCAGCTTGCAGCCAACTATATTTTTCAGTTCGGATCTCAATAAATATATATTATAATAGCTGCAATACAAACTGACCGTTCAAAAATTATGCTGTCAGAAAAATACCTGTGATGGTTATTATAGCTTCGGTGCAGACGAAAATAATTATTTTTTTGTTATTTTTAATCCTTATAAAGCTGCTTTCTCAAGGCTGCGGTACTTTTTGTAGCCTGCTTTTTTTACAATTTCTATCCAACACCCACATATTTGCTGTTCTCGCTAAACGCGACAGCTGCTACATAGCAGTCACTCACATTAATGATTCATCCACAGGGTAGACTTGTCACCCATCAACCGGCCAACTGGCCATCCAACGCTTCGAT